GCACGCTCTTTCCCGAAGAAAAGGAAGAATTCGATGATGATCCACTTCTGACGACTGACGACACCAGAACTCCATCCATCACCAGAACTTCATCTTCCGCCATCATCGGTGCCTTCACATTCTCAAGCGGGGACAGCGGCGATCTGGAACTCCCGCTTCGGTTGCGCTGGTAATTGGAAGAGAATCTGTCGCCACCAGGCGATATAATTGGAGATCCAGCGCCACCGCGCAAGTATTTCACGAGCATGGAGTCTTTGTTTACCGACTTGTTTAGCGATTCCATCTGCAATCGGAGACTGTTACATTAGTGTTTTTTTTTCCTTCTCTCTCTTTTCTGTTCGTAGCTTATGAATTTATTTGAATTTGAAAATATGGATTCTCTTAGAACAGATAGAAACAGACGAACGCCTAACAAAATTAAGAGGTTCACACAATCGAGGAAAAAGAAAATAAATAAATAAATTGAAACGAAAGAGTCTAGGACGGATGGATGCCTCTCATACCTGAAAATCTCGGAAAGCAAGCCGGACGGTGGTTTCAATTCCTTTGGTGAAGCGTTTCGACTTCTCTTGAAAGGATGCTGCGCGCCACTCTTGCTTCGGAGATCATGGCTCCTTCACTTGTGTATATATACCGTTTGTTATTGCTGTGACTTTTGGTTTCTACCGACGACTTATAAAAATTATTTTTTATTCATTTTAAAAATTCGTCTCACGGTAACTTTTAAAATTCCGCTAGACCGAGCACAGCCCAAGAGGGAGAAGTTATAGGATCAACAATAGCCCTTCAAGTTTGCAAAATGTCAAAAGAAATCCACTATCTATTCCTTTCTCTATTTTTTTTGTTTTTGATAACTCGGGGTGTCCGCTCACTATAATTAGTTTCTGGACTCATTAAATATTATACAAATCTAATAAATAGGTAAGTTATTACAAAAATAACAAATATATATAAAAAGAATCGAATTTAAATATTATAATAAATATTTTTTTACTAAAATCATGAGGTCACTGACTCAAGTACCTTTTTTTTTTTTCTTGACCAGGGAATTGGTGATGAGATGCATCGGAATTCTATGTAAATTTACGGGGTGAAGAAAATAATCGCATTTCACATGTGTTTTCATGTATTCTAGTTTTTTTCTAATTGAAAAACAAAAAATATTGTTTATATTTTATAGAATAAATTAAGGAAGGTGTGAACTAATAAATTAAAAAACTAATTAAATATCAACACATAGTATAGATTTCATTTATTTTATATCTGCAGCTAAATGCTGTTGTTAATAAAAGATTGTTTTTGTTTTTAGAGATACTTCATACAAATACAATTAATTTATGTAAAATATAAGAGAGAAAAATTCAATATAAATCAAACTAATCTCTTGTATAACGTAAAAAATTATAAAAATATTAATTATCATGTACAAAAAAAAGCTAATTCTACCTGTTTAAGAACTAAAGGGAGACACAGATAAACATTTAAATAGAAATAAAAAAACATCTGTAAAAAAATAAAAGTGATGAAGCATTGATGAGCCAGGCTCACGAACTAGATGTTAATAGGTCAGACACACGTGCCTAGTCTTCATAAAATACCTCAAGGCCATGCAAGAGTTCACAATGCTTGAACATTTTCTTTTTCTTAAAAAGAGAGAGACAGGTCGCCTACAAGCTAATATGTTTTTTGATCTCCTAAAATAATAGGTAAATTTAGGATCCTAGAAATCCAAGTCCTAGATTTTTGTTTTTTTTTTTATTTCAAAACACCTTAAAAACACATAATAAATCTCAAAAAATTACTTGTCAACCCCCTAATATCTTAAAATCACTTTTAAGAATGAAAATCAACTTGATATAGAGAAAAACAAATAGGTATTTTCTAAAATATTTAATTTAAAAAAATATCTTTATTGAACTCTTTTCAAGAAAAAAAATTATTTACATAAAAATAACCAAATAAAAATATGTGTAACTGAAAATTTTTTTTCCATGACAGTTTTTTAGTTAATATCTCAATTTTCTTTGAATTTATTCTTTTTACAAAATTATAACTGTTAAAATAATTATAGAAAAATTTTATAGAAAAAAAATTAAAAACATTTAAGATAATGGGACCTCATTTCTGATCGTTTTTGTAATTTTTTTTAATAACTTAGATTATTTTAATACTTATAAGTGAAGAGTTTATTTATGAAGATAAAAATATAAATTTGATTTGTAAAAAGCATTTTTATTTGAAAAAATAGTTATGATTTTTGAACAGAATAGTTTTAACCTTTAAAAATGTAAAAAATATCTAAATAAAAATGAAAAAAAATTATTTTTATATATTGATATCATAAATAATTTTTAAAATAAATATATCATAAAAAATAGCAGTTATTACATTATCAAATAGATTCTTAATTATATTTTAAAATGATATTTTTTTTAAAAATAATTGTTATTTAAAATTAAATTTTAAATGTTTTAGAATTATTTTAATATATTAATATTAAAATAATTTTTTAAAATAAAAAATATTATTTTAATATATTTTTTATCAATTCTAAATCTCCAGACATCTTATTAAAATTAAATGCGGGAAGCTTCTCGTGCCACGACCCCACGTTTTCTTCTTAGGTAATGTTTGGAAACACGGTTGAAGCTGCCCCCACGTTTTCTTCTTAGGTAATGTTTGGGAACACGGTTGAAGCTGCGTTCCTAAAAAATTTTAAAAAAATTTATTTTTTTTTATTAAAATATAATATGGTTTGTACGTTTTGAATTGTTTTGATGTGCTGATGTTAAAAATGATTTTTAAAGAATAAAAAAACATTATTGATGTGTATTTTTATATAAAAAAATATTTAAAAAACAACCATTACCACACTACCAAATACTTTTTATATAAAAAAATATTTAAAAAACAACCATTACCGCACTACCAAATATACTCTTAAAATACCAAACAGAATTCTTCACTGCACGCGCAAAGGCTTCGCGTGCAACCCATGAAATGATAATACCATATCCAAACCAGGAACAAAATAAAATACCAAAAATTCCTTATCTACATGCCCGAAAAGAAAACCGAACTATAGATTAGATTTTTATGTGGGGTTTACTTGGATTCTTCTAAATCTCAAAAGCAAACTTTAGAATTACCAAATTACCCACGTTCAACGACGGTTTCAAGAGTGCCTAAAAGCTTATAATGATAATTATTTTTAAAATATTTTTTATATATAAATATATTAAAATAATTTTTTTATTTTTTAAAATTTATTTTTAAGATTGATACATTAAAAAGATTTTAAATATATAAAAAATTTAAAAATATAATTTACATCATGTTCGTAAACATTCTCCAAAAAAATACAAAGAAAACCCTTTATTTTTACCTATTTATTTGAATTAATTAATTATTTATAACTTTTGTGATTTCTTTCAATTTTCAACTTCCAATTTTTTTTATCACAGTGATGACATGGATTAAAAACACATTCGTTTAATAAAAAATCCAACTCAAGCAATGGGTAATTTTTCAATGAAAGAATGAAATTAAAAATTAACATAAATATATGAAAGAAAAAATATTTTATTGGAAAAAGGAAGATAATCAGATGTATAGCATTCTCGAGAATGCTGGACTAATTAAAGAAAATACAATTTCTTCTGAGTTAGTACTGTTCAAATGTTTTTATTTTAATTTGATAAATAAATCTAGCCTTATTTTATTCAAAAATAAGACAGTCATGGTTTATAAAATTAGATTAAAAACAACACTTGGCCATAAAAAAAAAAAAGGAAAAGCAATGCGAGGAAAATTACTAGCGGTAAGAGCATCTGCAATAACAAATGTTATTTAAAAAGTCAAGTGGTTAATATGACATTTTAAATAAGGTAAACATGCCCTTTTTTCTCTTCCCCCTCCCTTTTTTTATATGCACTCAATAAATAATATTTTAATAATTTATTTGTATTTTAATATATTTAATATATAATTATTTTAATAATTTAATATAATTCGATCAATTTAAAGATCTAAAAGCAACTTTAATAATAAAGGTAAAGATAAGTAAAAAAACTAAAAAATCTAAAAATAATAATTGAAAAAACCAAATAGTGAAAAAATAGATTAAACTAATTAAAATTTTTAAAATTGACCGGTTCGGTTTGATTTACAAGTATGAAACTAAAAAAATCGAACCGAGCTAAATCAAAACTAGAAAAAACAGGAAAAAAAACTTGAGTCAAACATGAAAAAATTAATCCAGACTAGTTTGAACAAGTTTTTTTCCTAAAAATAGAATTGAACCGAATAGAAACCGGTTAGTTTAAATCGGTTTTAGTTCTATTTTATTTTTTAAAATTTGATTTTGTTATTTTTTATAAAAATTAAATCAAACTGAAAATATCACCCTTACGAAATGATCAAAATATTAAATAATAAAATTAAAAAATAATATAAGTTAATATGGGAAATTCCATATACCTATAACATTAATTATAAGATTAAAGTAATCTCATAATAAATAAATAAATAAAAACATAAAGTTTTTTAAATTTTAAAAAATTACTGCAATGAATAATATTTTATTAGTTTTTAATATTTGTATAAGATGTTAAAGAATATTATTTTTGTAAGAAAAATAATATTTTAATATTTTGTTTAGTATTTCTAGTTAGCATGTGCAATACTATTGCAATGAATTTTTATTTTGCAAGGTTTTGACATTTTTGTGAGTTATATAAAAATAACATTTCTGTAAAAGAAATTATATGATGACATTTTATTTAACATTTACTAGGAGTATATATAAAACAGGCATTGAAAAGTTATATTAATATTTTTTTTTTATCTTTTCATTTATCACGTGACTCGGCGATGTACCAAGTAAGAACTCTACAAGGACAAATTCGTCCAGTGAAAGCTTGGTGCAGTACTCTAGGATCGTGAATCTGACTTCGGTCGGCCCCTCTATGCAACCCATTTGTCTTCCTCCCTTTCCTCACTCTACTATCTCGAAAAGACTCTTCTTTTTTACACTCTCTCTCTCTCTCGCTCCCTGTCTCTGTTCTTGCTGGAGGGCACTAGAGAAAGGTAGGGTAAAAACTCAAACCCTAAAACCCTGCACCAAACCACTAAGACTCTAGAGAGTAGCAGCTCAAAGCGTAGCAAACCAAACCCCAACTCCTGAAAACCATATCGCATTCCATTCCGGCACCAATCCAAAGCGAAAATATTTCTTCTTTTTGTGATTTGACACTCCCCACCTGAACCCTTTTTTCCATAAGCCATTCCATTTTTTCTCCTTGAAAAGGAAAGCTCTGCTATACCCCATTTCATCGTATTTATTTCGACTTCCACTCCGTAGTTCTCTTCTTTTAGTGAACCTTTAGAAAACAGAGCAAACACCTACAGCCCCAAGATGCCAAACCCAAGATTCATAACCTTTATCTTGATTTTCATCAATGTAGTGGCTTTAGTGACCCCCAAATCCACAATCGAACCCTGCTCTAACTCTGACTCCTGCAATGCTCTTCTTGCCTATACACTTTACACAGACCTCAAAGTGTCAGAAGTGGCTTCCCTCTTCCAAATTGATCCAGTAGCTCTCCTCACAGCCAACGCCATCGACATCTCTTACCCAGATGTCGAAAACCACATCCTCCCTTCGCAACTCTTCCTCAAAATCCCCATCACTTGCTCTTGTGTTGATGGAATCCGCAAATCCGTCTCGACCCACTACAAAACAAGACCCTCAGATACATTATCTACCATTGCAGACTCAATTTATGCAGGTTTGGTTTCTGCGGACCAGATAAAGGAGGCGAATTCAATTGATGATCCTTCAGTGCTTGATGTGGGGCAGAGCCTTGTTGTTCCTTTGCCTTGTACTTGCTTTAATGGGACGGATAATTCGTTGCCTGCTATTTATTTGTCTTATGTTGTCAAGGAGGTGGACACTCTGGCTGCCATTGCTGCACGGTATGCAACTACACTAACTGATTTGATGAATGTTAATGCTATGGGGAGTGTTGCAATCATGGCTGGCGATATACTTGCTGTACCATTGCCAGGTAATATATGTTGGGGTGTAGTTTAAAGAGTTGTGTGTTATTGTCACTTTCCTTAGCGAGTTTTATCGGGAAGTGATTATTATTATTTTTTAAATTAATTTAGCTACTCTTTAGTGATCTTGTTAGTTGCTAACATATAGCTGTTAGGAGGCTGGCTTTAGCGAGCTTGCTTGATATTCACTGTCACTCAGTTGAATTTCATTCAATGCTTCTGAAATTTAGTTATATCATCATGTATTGAATTCGTTTGGTTACTGTGGTAAAGAAAATGGGCAAAGCCGTAATGTCTAAATTTGCAGCTGCATTTGTTTTCAATAATAGTGTCTTTTATAAGTGATCATATTGTTCATATCAATGACATGGATAAGGAGCATTTCTTTATTTCTTGCATTGCAGCCTGTGCTTCCAAGTTTCCAAGATATGCTTTTGATTTTGGTTTGATTGTGCCAAATGGTAGCTATGCTATCTCTGCAAGTCACTGTGTCCAATGCAGTTGTGGACCTGGAAACCTCAAGTAATCTGTTTCGTTGACTTTAATGTTGATATTCTTGAACTGCAACTTGCCTTTTCACCTTATTAATTTGCTTTTGGTGTAGTTTGTACTGCATGCCTGCTTCCTTGGCAGTTTCTTGTTCGAGCATGCAATGTAGGAATAGCAATCTCATGCTTGGGAACGTTACATGGCAGCAGAGTAGTGCTGGATGTAAAGTAACTTCTTGTAGCTATGGTGGATATGTCAATGGAACTATTATAGCCACGTATGCTACACTTCTTACCTTTTCTAATTCTTTGGTAGTTTCTTGAGCATGTTCCTTATGTAGTGTTGTTGCCTCCTGATGGCTGAACCCTTTCGATTCTCTTTTTGTCTTCATGCAGGCTGTCAACATCTCTTCAACCTCGATGTCCAGGTAAAAGTTTGATAAATGATGTTTAATTTATGGGGAAATTGAAATTGATCACTCTTGGGGGCTTGGGTGGAATATGAAAGTTCAATATTTTTGCTAAAATGTTATTATCTCATAGGTCCAGTTGCTCCATTCCTTTAATCAAAATCAGATTGCTTAGTCTTTGATGATGATTGATCATGACCATGCCATGTTAGTGAGTCAAAACCTAGATCTTCATACAGGTATCATTAGTATTTAGCAGGAAAAAACATCTCAGCAAATCTAGATGAATTCTCTTAGCACGGTATCTTTTGTCACTACCAACCTTCTGCGCTGATCCGCTGATCCATCAACACGGTGAACACAACTTTGAAACTTGAAATGCAGAAAGCTTGAAATTAAACAAATCTGATATTATCTTGTGTGGTGTTGCCAAATGAATCAATTTGTAAAGCTTTATTCTACTATTCCATTTGCACAATGGTTAAACTGGTTTGGCTTTATGTTAAAAAAATGTTGTAGGCCCGCAACAATTTCCTCCCCTGGTAGCACCACCTACCACAGTGATCAGGGATTCAAATTTTGCTCCAGCACCCGCACCTCAGTCAGATGGTTCTAGTACACCGACATCGACACCCAAGACAGGAGTTGTGCCAGCTACTGGATCACTTCCTGGATTATCTCCAGCAAGTGGCCCAAGTGGAAGTATTTCTGCTTCTTTCTCGGCCAATCCATCATCCACTCTCGTAATTGCAGCAGTGCTATTCTTGTTTGCCATGGCCTCCATTCCATTGTAGTTTTACCATGAAACTGCTTGTCCAGGTGGCATAGTTTTGGTTCGTGTGGTTTGTTTCTTTTTTAATAGGGCCCTTTCTGTTGTATGTAACATTTTTAGTTTTGCCTCTACCACTTGAAACTGAGATACGGGAAACCATGGGCTGTCTACGAGCCTGGTTGGTATTTTGATCTGCTAGCTTGCTGCATTATGTACTGCAAGGCTTGCCATGGGCAGTTGCCCTTTTGTTATTCATTCGTCGCTTAAATTATCCAGAGCTCAATGATATTTGTTCGCAATTGTGTTCTAAGCTGTTTATAAAAAACCCATAAAAATTATCTTCTTTGCAGTAAAAATTTAGTGATGTGGAGTGGCATGGTTGACAAATTTAGTATTTTTGCCCCCCAAAAAAATCAGGTTATCCGTTCATGTTTCACAATAAATTTATCTGCAATATAAATGTTTTTATTTGATCGATAGTATGAAATTAAAAGAAAAAAATACCTGGAAAAAAACTAGAAATCAAAACAAAATATGATCATCTATGAAGTATTACCATGACACAAGGTAAGAAAGAGTAGTGGCGGGGAAGAAAACAAGGTGCGGCTGAAAACCATCGGCCTCGTGTGGCCCTGGCCTTTCGACTCGCCATGTTCTCGTGGAAGAAGGCCATTAAAAAGCATTTCATTTGCATCTCTTTTTTTTTCCCCTTCAAAATTGCACCTTTTCAAACAAATTTTGGAAAGGGAGCACAGCACGTGGATAAGGTTTGTGAAAAAATAATAAACTTAATGGGTTGCATTAAAAAAAGAAAGCATATTTAATGGGTTTTAATTATATAGCAATAACGCAATTTAATACGCCATATGCATATTATGTTCTAAATATAACAAGTTAATCCAAGGGGGTGGGGAAATAGTTAAAAATACTTATACATATTTAAAAAGAACCAAAAATATCCTTTTGGTTCATGGAAGAGATGAAATTATAGTTTATAGTTATTTGAAAGTTAGATTTCAACTATATATTGATTATAGCAAATCTTAATTGGGATATATTTTAAGTTAAAAATACTCATAAATACTTAAAAAAAATAAAAAAAAAATCTTCTTTTGTCTATAAAAAATATGAACTTGTAGTTTATGATAATTTAAATGGTAGTTTTTAAACGGATATTAATGATAGAAAATCTTAATTGAAATATATTATACTCTAAATGATGCTGCTGTGAATTGAAAAAGTTTCAAATAAAAAATCATAATAAATTTTATTACTAAAGCTGAATATACCTCTACGTCTAAAGCAATAAAAGAAATTGTTTAGATCAAAAAGTCAATTGCTAGACTAAATATGGTTTCTAACATTATTGATCTAATAACCTTATATTGTGATAACACAATAATTACACGAGTAAAGAAATCAAAGTCTCATTAGCTATCTAAGTATGTACGTAAACTATTCTATTTGATTAGATAAATTATTGAAAAGAAAAATATAAAGGTAAATTGAATATCATTGAAAAGAATCCTGCGGATCCTTTTCTTAAAGCATTGTCTCAACAAAAGCATGATCACCGATTAGCATTGTCTCAACAAAAGCATGATCACCGTATGGAGAAATATTGCATTGGTTTTAATGCAAGTGAAAGATTTTTAGTGTATATATCATGCAATCAATCAATTGGTTACATGTGATGCCAACCTTGTTCATGCAAAATATATTTACAACTAATAAAGGGTATTCCTTATCATTAATATTTGTTTTTCTCTGATTAATAAAGCTATTGTTTGATTAATGGATTTAGAGTGAAGATAAAGTTCCTGAGATAAAAATATTTTGTAAAAAAAATTATAAAAAATTTATAATTTCGAGATTGCTATTATATTAAAGCATTATTTCTACATGTTTCTGAAGCATTATTCCTAAATGTTTCTAATCAATGCTTTTATTAAAACTGAAAATTAATTTGAGTTGTGAAGAATAATATTTTTTATATTATTTCCTATATAAAAAAGTAGTTATTCTCATGAGTTAAGGTATGAAAAATACATAGAAATATTATATAGGTGTTTGTTAGATAACATGTATATCAAACTGACTTGTATAATAATTATATAAAATGGATAGACATTAAATGTACTAGGAACTATACGAAGGTATTTGAGTGATTAAGAGAGGATTTATCACTTTAAACAGGTTAAGAAAAGATACTTCACGTGTTCTTAAATAGTATTGATTGTGAAATCATTATATAAGGTGAAATGAAATTTGAAAAGAATTTCAAATCTTATTCAAAAAATCAATCTATGACTATAAGTTTTGATAACAAACATAATTTAACAAGGCATACACATTCTATACTATAATGTCAAAACTGAAATATTTTTTATAAAGGAATAACAATTACATCAAAAAACGACACGCTGAAAGCATAATTATTAAACCCGGTCCGGGGATTGACTCGACCGAGGGGCTGGTTCTTGGGTTTTATGAGTCAACCCGGGTCAACTCAAATCAACCCGAAAATTCACTCATTTTTCTTTCCTTTTTAAAGCTGTTGACAACAACTTCAACACAAAAGAAATATTCCCATAACTTTATAATTTACCTTTCCCAGCTAAATGGCTCCAAAAGGCAAAAGCTATGAGGAATGCCCCATATTGCAATTTAATATATTTTCTGGTCAACTAAAAATTTTAAAGGAAAGACACACAAATTAAACCTAAACTTTTCTCTGTCTCTACCAAATAAAACAAGTCGCTTTAGTCCCAAAACCAACCAAAGCTTTCCTTTTTGCGTGGCCAAAACAACTGTCATGCTCGACTGACTATCAAAAATTGAAAGATAAAAGACATTCTCTTCCCTTATTTCTTCACTCTCGTGCTAGAAGGCATTCCATCAAGCAGTAGGAGACTAAAGAGCCTCGGCTTCATTCATCCCTCTCTCAGTCACCCCTTGGTTTTTTAAACAAAACTAGAGAGCCCCTCCTTCTTTTTCCCTAGCAGTCTCAGTCTCTTGGCCAAACCAGAATCGCCGCCCACCGACATAAGAGGAGAAGACATCAACCTTTTAGTCGTGTCAAGCCCCTCCTTCTTTTTCCCTAGCAGTCTCAGTCTCTTGGCCAAACCAGAATCGCCGCCCACCGACACAAGAGACCAGCTTGACCAGCCTCTCCTTCGACCAGTCTCCAACGACAGTGTCCCTCACTCTCCTTTCCTCTCTGCTGCTAACAACAACTCATTGTAGAGAAGATGACGAAATAAGAAGGGAGGCCGAAGGATAGAAACCACATTTGAAAAGGAAAAAAAATCGGGTCTAGTCCAGGTTTGCCAAGGTCATCCGAGTCATGAGTCGACCCAGCGGGTCGACTGAGTTTCGTGATTGTTGCACCAGCCGGTTTTTTAACAAACTTGAACCAGTCCAGGTCCCGGGTCAACCCGCCAGGTCGATCCGGGTTTAATAACTATGACTGAAATGTTAAGTTAGACCCATATGAATATTTTAATATTTGGGAAATCATGACATGTTGTTAAAACACTGCACTTGATTTTTAAATATAAATTAATTAATTAGTGAATTGAAAATAAATTAAATTATTTATTTTATATTTAACATATCTAATCAAATTGTTCAATTGTTGATTATGATTATAATGGATATTTAGACCAAACATATTATGAATTTAATAAATAACAAAAAATAAAACTATTGGTAAAAAAATCAATAAGAATGATTAATTAAACGTGACTTGCTTAGAGATAAGATTTAGAAATAAAAAATTGAATGTAGTTAAAACATGGATTCCAATTCTAAACCTAGAAAAATAAAATATGAACTTAATTGAATACATTTCTAAAATTACTATGAAATAATATATGTGATATTATTCAAAGGATAAAATAATATTTTTATTTATTTATAAGGTTATTAGGATTTTTCTATAAATAGAATATCATGTCTTTTATATATATATAAAGTGAAGCATCAAAATTAAAAATACAGAGCTACAATTCAAATTTATAATGATACATTTATTCTAATTTTTTTTAAAGAGATTTCTTATTATTTATTAATATTAAAATACCAAATATTTAAACTACTTAATCTTAAAAAAAACCTAATCAAACCTTGTAAAGAATATTTGATATTTAAATAATTTTTTAATAAACCCTAATTTTTTTTTAATTGGATTAAGACTCCCAATTTTTTTCATACTATTTCAGTGCTTGGGACATAGCCATTCATTTAGTTATAGCTATATCAGAAATTTCAAGTCTTTCCATAATGGTTTCGGAGCTGGTACTCCAAATGAGGATTTTTTTTCCATCTAAATGCCAATTACCATGAAACTCTTTATGGAAAACTACCTTATTTTAAAACCAATTAATTTTTTAATTCATTATCAGGTGCCCTAGATATCCTTTTTTCCCCCTTTAATTTTCCATAAAATAATATTTAAATGATTATACAATTATGTAATTGTTTTTAAAAATATTATACCTTTTTTATATAATGATATTATCAAGTACTTAAATAAATATATACTAGCTTTATATGTAGAAATTTTATAATAATTTGATCATCTAATGAGAATAAAATAGGTGTTTTTTATTTTTATTTTTATATAATTTCTCAAATTTATTATTCTTAGACATCTTTTTATACTTAGCACAAAAGAATAACTGTTTCATAATTCTTTATTTTTTTAATTGTAACTTTCTTTAACAATTATAATAACTTTTTATTTAAAAAAAATACTTTGCATAAAAAATATACTCTTGTCAAAATAAAAAGGATGTCAGAAATAAAAAAATTAATTTTTTTATTAAAAAATATATTTTCTTGTTATTAATTCAAATCATTATAGCTTTTATGAATTTTATTTTTTTTTATTTAAACTTTTTATTAAATGAACTATTTTGCTATAAAAAACCATATCGTTATTAAAAACATTACATGAATTAAAACATAAAAAAGAGATAAAAAATAAATATTTTTTCAAATTTTATTTTTTAATTTTTTTAAATATTTATTTTTATTATTATATAATAAAATAAAAATTTGATTTCAAAAATTCCTGTGGAGCCGAAAGTTTTGTAAAGGGACATATTGAAGTAAATTAATATTAGTAGAGGTCAAGTCGTTTGATAACTTTTTTTATTTTTAAAAAAATATTTTTTACATTAATATATTTTAAAAATATTAATTTAAAATAAAAAATAGAAAAAATTAATTTTTTTAAAATATTTTTAAAACATAAAAATAAATAGAAAATTAAACAATTAATAGAAAAATAAAGGTGTTCTTTTTTAATAAAAAATAAGAGAAGACAAAAATGACCAACAAAATGAAATTAATTACTAGAAATGCCATTTATTTAGATGAGGGATCTAGTCGTTAAAGAAATTCCGTGATACAGAACAAAAGCCTAAAAAACTGGGTTTAACGTCATAGGAGAAGAGAAGAGAAGAGAAGCGGTAGCCTGAAAAAAAAAAAAAAATTCTCCAGAACGCTGAAATCAAGAGAAGAAAATCTCTCTGATGACTTCAGTTCCTTCGAAACTCTACTCTGGTCTCTCTCCATTAGTTAGTTATCTGTGTTTATCTATCTCCATTGTTAATTAATTAGTTAAACAACTGATTAATTACGTTGTTAATTGCAGATGATGTTAGCCTTTTAGTTGTGTTATTAGACACCAATCCGTTCTTTTGGACCGCATCTTCTTCCCTCTCATTCTCCCAATTCCTTTCTCATGTAATCTCTCTCTGAAACCCTAACTCTCCCTGATAAATAATTTTTTTAAAAGGGATTGATTCGATATAAATATTTTTTTTTTGCAGGTGCTGGCGTTTGTGAACTCGATTTTGCTGCTAAATCAACTGAACCAAGTGGTGGTGATTGCTTCTGGGTATAATACTTGTGATTACATTTATGATTCTTCTTCGGATGCGAGTCAGCTGGGCTCGGAGAATGGGAGAATTCCGTCTCTTTATTCCAATTTGTTGCAGAAGTTGGAGGAGTTTATGATCAAAGACGAGAAACTGGGGAAAGAGCAGTCTCAAAGAGCGATCAAGTCTTCGTTGCTCTCAGGCTCATTGTCCATGGCCCTTTGCTGTATCCTACATGCTTAACAATGCTGCATTTCTGAACTTGATTTGTTATCGATTCATCTCGGTGGATTTGTGTGGTTTATTTAACTTGGTGAATAGATATACAGAGGGTTTTTCGTTCAGGACCACTCCATCCTCAACCTCGAGTGAGTATTTTTCACATAATTGTTTTTAAGGCAGTTAGTCGTGTTTGTATGCGGAAATTCGACCATTACAGTTGAGAAATTCTCATTGTACCATCAACCAAGCCCTTGAATATCGATCACTATGCAAATTAATAATAAATGTTGTATGGATTTTGTTTTTATTGTAATCTCAAATTAATTAGTATCTGGAGCTCGGAAATCATTCTGTGTGGTCAATCCAGTTGAGGGTCGTGTGCATTGCTTTTGATCTTCTCCTGCTTTATCGTGCCACTGGCCAATTACCACATCCCTTTTTATCAATTTTTTTTTTAACTGCGTTACTGACATCCAAGGGCAGATTTTGTGTTTGCAGGGATCCCCGGATGGGCCTGAACAGTATGTTGTTAATATGCTTTTCATTTGTCCGCTGTCCTTTTCCTCAAGCTTTTTACACTCACTGTTTCTGGTCTTTCCAGATATGTTGCAGTAATGAACGCAATATTCTCTGCACAACGCTCTATGGTACTCTAATGCTTCTAGTTTTTTTAGTTGTATTACATTCTGCTCATACATCTTATATTGGCCCATTTCTGAGATGCTCCCTTCTTTTCATCTTGATCAGCTACCTTTTCCTCTTCATAAATCACAAACTTTGCATCATCCAGAATGACTTGTTGTATCCCCCTTTTACCCCTAAATTCATTGTTCACCTTCTCTGGAACTGATATCAGGCTTTTTTTATGAGCCCTCGCTATATTGAGCATAATTTCATTGAAATTGTTTTTATATTTACTGCTTTTTGTTCGTCTTCAATGTGAACATGGTTACCCACTCAACAAAGGCTCCAAACTTAACATCAACCTGACACAGGATAAAAGTTGCATTCACGCATACTGCTAAGGACTTAATACGCTTGTTAAGTTATTTTCATTTCTGCTGCCTTTTTTTCTCTCAGAATATCTTGATTCCAGTATGTTAAAGATAATCACTTGGATAGATATTGTTTGGTACTTACATGCTTCATTCCAAAGAAAAACAAAAATGAGCATCACAACAGTATTTGTAACCTACCTTCATGTACATTGCAGTTGACTTCTTTAAGACTTGTAAGCATTCTCTGATTGCTCTTTGCTGCAGGTGCCTATAGATTCATGTTATGTTGGTGCTCATAATTCAGCCTTCTTGCAGCAGGTATTGTATCCTCATTGATGGGGTTGCCTAGCAAATTCTGTGCCCATTATCTGATTTTCTAACTGCCTGTGTGATTCATGTCAAACAGGCCTCCTACATAACCGGAGGTGTATATGTTAAGCCCCAACATCTGGATGGGCTATTCCAATATTTGACGGTATGCTATAATTTGTTAGTATATTATGAAAAGAAGCTACATGGTTGTTTCTAGATAAATCGAAACATCGTTTGGTTCTTCTATCTTATCTTGTTTGCACCCTCATGCGTAAGCTAGTTTATTCCATCCATTGATTGAACATGAAACTCTGTTAATTAAATTTGGTTGACAGTTTTTCACTTTCCTTGTTCCGGCATCTCTCTTGATGTTAATTTGGTATTTTTATTTCATGCAGACAGTTTTTGCAACTGATTTGCACTCTCGTAGCTTCATACAACTTCCAAGACCTGCTGGTGTTGACTTCCGTGCGTCGTGAGTTTTTGAACAATTGTAGATTGTCAATTCCTATGGAATCTTTTCAGGAGCCCTTGTTACCTAGATTGTGTTGTCAAAAACTAGAATAACTAGACAATGTCATATACTAGTGTCAAGGATATAATCATTTTCAAGAGGTATACCTGAGTTTTATGAGATTCTGGGGTATCAACTCATGTTATAAAATGGTTTGCTATCCTTTTATGAGATTGAAATTGCTAGCTACAATCCAGAATAGAAAGACAACTTTATCGTTTGCATGTGCCTTGTATGTTTGCATCATGCGTCTGTAGTCAATAAGCCATTTAGAAAATCACTTTGCATGTGTATATTGCAGTTTATCTTATCAAATTGTGCATTTACCAGGTGTTTTTGCCATAAAACCACAATTGATATGGGCTACATATGTTCTGTATGTTTGTCCATATTCTGCAATCATCACAAGAAGTGTTCGACTTGTGGGTGAGTAGATACTTGCTTTTTCCTAGTTATATTACAAAATTTGACACACTGGCTGCCATTACCATTTGTGGTGTTTGATTTCATGATAAAAGAGCAATATTAATGGGTAGTTTTAGAGGCAAGTTCTGATCCAGCTCTTCTCAAAATATAGAAAGTATTGTCCTCATTTTTGTTTGGCTTTTTCACTGTCTGCTAGTTATTAAAATGGTCAAAGAGTTTTTACCTGTTGTGAAAGTTTTCAAATTTTGCTTCAGGTAGCAGTTAACTTTTACTTTTGTCTTCCAATTGTACGCAAACCTATTTCTTAATTTACTGATGACATCTCTCTCTCTATTGCATTCCTTTGGAGCTGGGATGTTGATGCCTTCTAAACGAATGAAGTTGAAAGAGATTTTAAATGAAGTTTGTTTGTAAATGCCTTTCTAACCAGTGGATGTGGTAAAAATAAGTCACTAGTGGTCAAGATTTCACTCAGAAATGAAGATTATCTTCGATTGCATTGACTGTTCTTTTTTAGATTATCATCCACTGCATGAACTGTTGTTGAACTGAGCCAGAGCATGGGCTGCTCCTTAGTGCGTTTTTTCTTTTCTTCATCTTTAGAATCAGAGACTCTGAAGTTTTAACAGAGGGGATATCCTTTTTGCCAATCACTTGCCTTTTCAGTTCTTGCTTTATTGCTACTCTTCTCTTCATTTGTGGTTGTGGCTTTGGGTATAATACAGGTCAGTTTTTGGCCAAGCCCAATCAGATACTTCCTCAACATCAGATCTTAAGAGAAAGGCTCCAGAAACATAATCTCTCTTTTAGAAGCATTTGCATTGGTGAGTCTTCCTTGGCTGTTACTATGAAATTACACTACAAGTTTGTCTTCTCACTGGCAATTGATTGTATATGTTTCGATTCTTGTGGTGTCCAGAACTTGAAGATGCTCTGTGAAGATGGTCTTATCTGCATTACACAATTTTTTCTTCTTTAGCACGTGGGATTGAAAGTATATTAGGAATCCTAAAGACTGGCATTTGTTATGCACGACTAAATTGATTATCAAGTTGAATTGAGATTTGGTTTTGTTCTTTCATGACTGATCGCATGATATTCCTCACTTCCAGCGATGACATGCTGCACAAAATCAATATGGGAATGGATACCAGAATGCCGAAAGTCCTATGGGAATGGACACTGGAATGCCGAAAGTCCTCTGCTAGCCATGAATGGAGAGGTTATTCCGGTGATATGTTTTTTGGGAGTGATGAGCAAATTGAGCTGGCAACAGCTCTTGTACTAGTGAAAACTATTTCATCCTGTTGCTTGTACGTATTGTTTTATGAGTTTGTATTTGTTCTTACACCAAAAACTGAGGTGATTAACATTCTGCAGTCTTTGAGCTTCCGAATCACAAATAGTTCAAGTTTTCGTCGTTATTGCCAGAAAGATTTGAGCGATTTGGATCAAGATGTGCTATCATACAACTTAGGGCCTGATAGGAAGTGCAGGCGATTTTTGAATTTAAAAGTGTATTAAAAAATATATTAAAATATTTTTTTTAAAAAAATAATTTTTAATATCAAAATAAAATCGAATTAAAAATATTCAAAAATTATTATTTTTTAAAATTTTGGAGAAATGGCACTTTAACCTCACCGTCAAATACCGCCCCCTTGGTTTTTCATAGGGCATGCGGGGTATGCGCGGCCATTCTCTCCATTGGACTACCACATCAAGAAAGAAAGGAATAATATCAAGCTAATCACATGAAAACCGCAGAAGGATTCCCATTTGTCTGTGCACACAATTGGAACTTGTATTATAATAATTAAGCATCCAATCATTTTAACTGAATGAGTTGCAAACAGAAAGCCAAAGTTATTTACAAACATTTACAATAACAGAAGCAAGGAGGATGCGAGGTGAAGAATCACGAGTTTTTCAATTTGCACACAGCTGAGACGCTTGAAGCTCCCAAGAAATCCACATCAATTATGATACAATTTGTTCATTCGGATTGGAATGGCCATCTTTATAGGGCCTTCAAAACAACTTTGCTGGATGCGTGAATGCCCCCTGCTGCAAGCCTCAATACAGCTCGGCTACGATACAATCTGCGTCCAGAAAATGTGTCATAAAGCAAAACAAAATTTGACAAAAAGCTGCTCAAATCCCTAACGAATTCTAAACTTAGGTAATTTATGTGGCTATCCACCAAGCTTTTAGTAACAACATGCAGTTGTGCAGATCTTAGCACTCTAATGTCTTCCTTGCTCGGTTAACACAACATTCATTTAGGTGAAGAAGGCATTTCACCCTATTAAGGGTCTCAGGGACATAATCAAGGTTCATTTGCTTGGATTCCCAAACTAATTTTTCACAACCAATCAACTTAGAATATATTTTATTTGCAATGGTAGCAGTAAAAAGAGATTGAAAATCCATTCTTTAGCAATAAAAATAAAGTTGAGACATGCTTCTATCAGACAGCATAGCACAAATTTCTCCCCAGCCTGGAATTTGTGTTCCTCGAAGGCTAGAATTGCAAACTAAGATATTAGAAGATGATCGAATACTCACCCTGCCAAAGCCAGCCCCCAGGTCCCCAGGGTATAAAACATGGTCCCAGCATGCCAGATACCAAACACTTTTTCCAATTTGCTCACACCGCCCAGAGCTTTTGCCAAAACTGCAAGTTGCAGACCATATGAAATTGAGTGACACTTCATTTTTACAAAACCCATATTACTTCATCACAAATTACATAGAAAGAGGAACATATCCAGGAAGATTTGAAAATGCTAGGCATCAGATTCAGAATATGGTTTGCTATCCCAAACACATTCGAATATCACTATAACTGTATCATAGGATAAAGAGCATAACACTGAACAGCATAGATCCATCCAAACATGACATAGTATACTTCATCTAAGCATAAATTTAGAAAATAGATGGTCCTATTGAAATCCTTACACGGTTAGCTAATTGACAGGCAAGGAGAAAAAATGATTTGTTGAGAAATAAAAGTAAAGATCAAGTCTCCTCTTCACAGGGTTAGTGGTTATCTCATCAACCAGTCAAGAAGAGAAGTAGATAATATTTGCTGCTCCCTCTGATTTAACAAGAGGATGGTTGCGAGGAAATAAATTAAATGCACGCAATCAGGTTTTCAGCTTAAGAAAGAGAAGCACAAAAACATTAAAGTTCTATTGCAACTTACTTTTCTGCAGCTCCTCTGGTGTCAAATTCTGCAAGTACAAAATAGGAAATCATGTTACATATACTATATCAAGTATCAACCCATCTTAATAAACAGAGCAAAACATCACCTGTGCCTTTGGGTTTGCTACAATGCATTTAGCCATGAAGTTAGCAACCCCATCCACCACACGTTCCTCAGTCACCACCACATAATTCTCATCATCAATACCACTCCGCTCTTCAACATTGCTAGGAACCATGTCTTCTGTCACCCAAACCCACCGACTAGGTTCTTTGCCATCAACATTGATTAGAACCTCAACTAATTGCATATCATCCCCTAATAAAAAAATAAAAAGAAACCCAAATGAACATCAAAGAAACTAGAGTACTACAAAGCTAAAAAAATCGAGAATCGTGTAAGAAATTAACAAACCTGTAGCCTCCTTAAAAGGGAATTGAATACCGGTTTCATTAACTGATGCCTGCTGGAGGGATTTAATTTTAGTCAAGAAATTCTCAGAATCCACAGTAGCTACTAGACGGCTGTACAGCTGCAATTTTTGAAAACAAAAAAAAACGCCCATAAAAGTTCAATATAGATTTCGTGATAAAGTTTTGAAATTTAACAATATTTTTTTAATAGATAATGCTTATAATTGATGCCCAAGAATCAGATAAACAGTGCCAGATATTTGCACAAAGGGAGAATTTAAAGATTCATGCTTATAATTAATAAAAGTAATTACATACATGAGGAGGGCAATCGTTTAGTAAGCAAGGAGATTCAGATAAACTTTGGAGGAGTTTCAAGTTGTGCTCAAGCAAATCCTTCAAACGCTTATTCTCCGATCTTAAAGACTCCAATTCTTCATCCACTGAATTACTTTTGGTGTCGTGAGCTGATTCATGCTGGTGAATTTCGTGGAGGTGATGATGTTGGGTGAATTCCATTGCTTTCCAAGCCACGTCAGCCACCTCGATGACCGTCTTCGCTACCTCAACAGCGCCGTGGCCTCCCATGGAAACTTTTGTTGGACAGGGATTTTGTCGGTGCTCAACGTTGTATGATTTGTTGCGTGTTCCCAGTATCAAGTATAGTTGCGAGTTGCGACAGAGCTCGGGAGGGATAAGGAGGTTATTTTCACATAAATATAGTTACCCCAGCCGCAGCGGGTAATGGTATTATTTTCACATCATATTTGCTCTTCCCTTCAATTTCTAAACAATTATTATTAAACAAAAATAAAATATATCAGCTTTTCGCTGGTTAGTCTGAATAATAATTTGTTAGAATTTATTTATGTAATTTTTTATATTAATTTAATGTGCTGATTTAAAAAGTAAATTTTAAAAAATAAAAAAATATTATTTTTATGTATTAAAAAAAACTTTAAGAAATAAATGTTATTACAATCCGAAAAATCCCAGATTAAATTACCTTTTTGCCCTTCAATAAATCTCTTTTGGCAACATTTGATTTTTTATTCAAACAAATACTTTGTCCTTTTCATCGTCTTTGGTTTTTGGTGGTTGATTGCATTTGTGTCTCTCTCTTTTTTGGTTTGTGCATTGCTTCTTCATGTTTATTATGCAAGCTGTTTTTTTTTAAAAAATTGCTTGGTTGTTGTTAGGGTTCTGACGCCTCTTCAGTTCCTTTTCCGTTGATGATTTTATGCTTTTTTTTTTTTGTTCTATTTGCTTCGCCTGTGTTGTTTTAGCGGTGATATTTGGTCTCTTCTGATGATCTCGGTGTTTTCTGTTTCATGTTTTGCTTGTTGTATTTTAGCTTCGAGACGATTTCATGTTTTTCTCTCCACAAACACAAAATCTCCATATCAAAAACTGGCAATCTTTTCAAGAAGCTTGATTCTGCAGAAGACAGAGGGAGAGAAATTGGGACCAATTCCCTTGCTCAGAAGCTGATCCCAAGCCATCACTATGTTCGGATTTCTGCTTTATCTACTCTCCTTGAAGGTCCATCCAGTTTCGATCCCATGATCCATAACATGATGTGGATTTTCCCTGTAACAGAAGTTGATCATCCCTCGGCCATCGCCAAGCTCGGAACCATGTTTGCCGAAGCTTGTCATTTTGCAACAATAAGAAAGCAATTGGACGGTAATGAAATCCATGTTTTCTGGGTGAGTTGAGGACGATCTTTCTCAATATTACATGCTCGACAGGCATGGAGAGGGTGAATTAGCATGTTGCTCTTGAAAGTGTGTTCTAATGTGAAAATGGTTGTTTGTACTATCAAATCATCTCAACTAATAATTTCTTTTTAAATAAAAATTTAATATATAATTTATATTATTTTTAATATATTTATTAGAAAAATTTTAAATTTTAAATATATATTATCTTATATTATTTTTAATATATATAATGCATCGGATAAAAATAATAAAATTTAAATTCATAACTTATTAATGCATCGATATTATATTAAAAAATTATTTTAATTAAATATTTTAAAATTTTAAATAAATTTTTAAAATATAATTTATATTATTTTTTATTTAAAAGACATAATATCAAATATATAAAGATTTATTCATTAACTTTTTTAATTTTATTTTTTTTCACTCACTCAAGTCGATATGTACACTTTTATAAACATTGCAAAATTACATGGGAAAGTATAATCACATAAAAATCTCGATTTTCATGTCATTATAAAACGATATATCTAGCATGTAAATTTAGTAAAACACAGGCTTCTTTTGCATCATAATCAAATAAATATTTTTTTGAGAAATATCTTGAAATGATTATTGAGATCCTTAACTTTATATATTTTTATAGCAAGAAGACGATGTGTTGGAGTTTTATTAAAATAGAAATCGAAATATAAATTTTTTCTAATGAAAAAAATAGTTGATTCTATAGCATTTTTTACTTATTTATTGGAAGGCTGCAATCTTCTTTATTTTCTTGGAATTTGAAAATTTATTTTTTTATATTCTATGTTTAAAATTATTTTTTTGTTCATTTTTTTTTAAACCTTACAAAAGATGCAATTTTCATATCAATCTAATGTATTTAAATATAATTTTAAAATCATTAAAATAATTAAGAAAACGATCAAACCTAATTCATTGGACTCGTTCCATCATTGCCTTTAATTTAACATAAAACTACTTTGAATTTATAAAATAAATAAATAAACAATATATTATACAATATTATAAAAAAAACTAAAAGATTATACTTTTACCATGCAACACCTTATAAATTTTTTTTTTCTTGCATATAGTCTTCAAATCTATGTCTTTTTTTTTAAAAAAAAAAAAATCTTATAATACTTGATTTGTTAAAAATTAAGCTTCATGATTTGTTGTGATTGGCTTTCTATACGATTATTCTAGTTTTATAACATGTATTCTGAGTTTAACAAATTAACTCGATTGACTCAAAAAAATTTTAATTCATATATTTTTTTTAATTTTATCCTTTAACATTAGATTAAATAAGAATTAGACTTCATGATTTGTTTCAATTTACTTTCTATTAGGTCATCCTGATCTTATGACTCGGATCACGAGTTTTGTAGTTTAGCATGTATTGACTCAGATTGTTTTGTTGTATTTTATTTTTAGATTGATTTTTTTTTCTTTTTATTCTTTAATATATAATTAAGTTGATTATAAATTGTATTTCATTAACTTGTTTCAATTTACTTTATATGTGGTTATCACAATTTCATAACCTGAGTTAGGGGTTTGTCAAGTTAACCTAAGTTGACTTATATTATTTTTTTAATTTGATTTATATGAGGTTATCTAGGTATCATGACCCAAATCATGAGATTAATAGGTTAATCCGAGTTAACTCGAGTTATTTTTTAATTGATTTATTTTTTTAATTTTATCATTTAAAATTTTGAGAATTGAGCTTCATGATTTATTTTGATTTGTTTTATATAAGTTATAATGGTCTCATAGCTCAAATTGTAAATTTTACAAGTTAACCCAAGTTGATTAGGGTTAATCTAATATAATATCGTCTAAATATTTAAATAAAAATAATATCGTCTTGGATTTTTTAATTCAAATTATGTTTTTAATTGTCATTCAAGTTATTTTTAAACTTGTCAAATCGATTGAGTTGACCTTTACATAATTTTATTTTACTAGAAAAAATATAAGCAACACTTGAATATTTGTTTTGCATAAAAAAATACTAATCCAACCAATGCAGGGCTATGATCTAGAAAAAAACTAAAAGAAGAAGGGTTTTTATAGTTTCTTTTCATGTAGAGGTTTATTGGGTTGCACTATTATGTGTTGTATTACAATTGAGTTAGCTCTTTTTTTATTTAATCCTTGAAAAATTATTCAATTATGGTTACTAAACTTTTTTCTTTTTTCTTTTATCTTTTCATAATATGTTAGTGTGGTCATAATTTATTTTGGTTTATGTGCTATGATATATTTGTGATGGAAAAAAAATCCCAATATTAAATTAAAGCTTGATATTACAAAATAAAATTTTATTTTATCAATTAAAAAAATTAAAACAACAAGGACCAAATTTAACACTAAAATACAACCTTTTTTAATTATTATTCACAGGGCATGAAAAACTATAGTTTAGCCCTTGAAAATCTTACTTTTTTAGTTTTAGTTTATATGTCCAGTGACTTTTACATTTTAGTTTCAAACTTCATTTGTTTTAGGTTTTAATCCCTAAAATTTGAGAAAGAAAATGAAAGAAAGTGTTATGCCGACTATATTTAGGTTAATCTTAATATCAATAAATTTATCTTTGAGAGATAAGTTCAATTAAAGCAGTGTTTCTCTTTAAACATGCTATAAAAAATAAATTGAGACATGTGAAGTTGTTTTCAATTAAGTTTGGTTTTGAGTTTTTAAAATGATTATAGGGTTTTTAAGTTTCAAATGAGTTTATTGACGCTTTTATAATTTTAGAATATTTTTTAAATAAAAAACAAGTTGAAAATTAAGTTTTTAAAGTCACAAAACTTGGATATGGATTTTCTATTATCATAAGTGCTTGGGAAGTCAACTAGAAAAAAACACATTCTTTACTAAAATAGACAATATAACTAAAATAGGCAATATATTATCTGTCTAAGGAGACAACACATTTTTTGTTATGAAAAAACTAAAAGTGTGTTATCCACACAATGAAAAGATTAAAAAAAAACAAGGTACTCGAGCTATATCTATATAGACCTTTTTTTTTCATGGACTAGGTGTGCCTGGCCTTTTTTTTTAGATAATTTAATTTTTATTTCTTATAAGACTTTGATAAAAAAAAATCTTTAAATCAATTTATAAAAAATATATTTAAGAAATTATCCAATTATGTCCTAATTTTTTTAAAAAATATTAGAGTTTTTTTATGATGATGTCATCAATTATTTAATAAATAATTGTATATTAATCTAATATGTATAATTTTTAAAATAATTTATTCATTAATATCAAATAAAAATAAAATATATAATAAACTTAAATTTAAAAAAAAACCCTATAAAATCCAACTTTTATTGAACTCAATCAGGAAAAAGATTTATTTTCTTTAAATTTAGTCAACAAAAAAACTCAGCTTTTCTTGAACTAAACCAAGTAAAAGAGGTTTTTTATCGGCTGGGCTTAGCTAAGGAGCAAACCTATTTTTTATTGGGGTAAGTCAAGTGAAGGACCACCATCTTTGGGTAAGCTATATTTTAAATTTTATTTTCTTTATACATATTAAATGTGTAAAATTCCTTAAAGTATCAACAATATTTCTATTAATATTAATATTGTGTAAAAGTCATTTAATAAGTGTTTCCATTTACATTAATACATATATTGGGAATATTTTCCATAAGTGTTTCCATTTACATTAATACATATATTGAGAATATTTTCCATCAATATTAATATATATATTAATGATATTCTCCTCTTTAATACTATTAAGGTAATATCATATTTTGACCACTTATCTCCATAAAAAAAATTTATAGGCTATAAATAAACTATGAATCTTTTAAATAAATGGTTTAAAATCTCTATTTTTTATTGTATATTTATTTCTAGAGTATTTTTCTATATTATTATTATATTTTGTTTTAAAAAATTATTGATTTAATCATCGGAAAATCCTCCAACTCACTAAAAATAATATTTTGTAGATATCATACATTTGTTCCCGACCATCTTAGCT